TTTTATTGAAGCTGTCAACAAGACGAGAGTAACACAGTGAATTGCTTAGGGGAAGACCCGAATGAGGCAAGTGGCCACTCACCTTGCACCTGGATCCCAAGTGCTCAGAGGGTCAGGGGCAGGGGGTGGAGGTGAAGGCCAAAGGGCTCACCTGGTGTGGAGTGATTCAATTCTGGGTTTAGAGGGCTTCAGAAACACTCTCCGAGCACAATCCAGGGATCGGCTCTTTCTTCAGGAAGTCCAGGGTTTTACATCGGCAAAGGGTCTTGCTCAAGAAAAGGTCTTATTTCCTAACTAGCACCCAAATCACGGGGTCTTCCAGGTCCTACATAAAAAACGTATTGTATTTGTAAGAGCCCTCTGCTTATTCTTCTGCTAGATCACTTCCCGTTCATCCACCGATACCCAGCTCGACGTCACACCCCCTGAAGTTCCCCAGTTCCCCAGAGAGGAGGAGGAAATTCCAAGAGATAGTCTTTTCTCCCAGAGCACTGAAATTTCACCAGAACCCACCCCTCAGGACAGGTCATGTTATATGGTAACTATTTGCTCCTGTTTTTGTATCAATTAGGCTGTTTTGACTGCATGTATCCAAAAAAAAAAAAAAAAACCCAAAATTAAAAACCTGGCTGAAACCACAATGAGAATTTATTGGTTCCAGTCACTAAAAAACCCACCTTCCGTTGCAGCTTAGTTCAGTTGTCTGACAAGGTCTCCAGGATCTTTCTGGGTGAGCTCCATTCTCCTGTGCTCTCTGGCTTTATATGTTGTTCCTCCAGAAGTTCAAATTTAAATAATCTCAGAACTCCCGCCAAAACGAGAAAGAGCCCTCTTTTCCCCGAACCTACAGTAAAAATCTGAGACATGAGTCCTCTTGATCCTGATTGGCCTGGCTCGTATCATGTGCCCATCTCTCACCAATCACGGTGGTCTGGAGGATGGAAGTGTCTAATTGGTTTGAAAGCGGTCACGTGTCCTACGCATAGAGTCTAGTAATGGAGGTGAATTTCTTGAGCCTTGTAGGCTGAGAGTGGCAGAGGGATAATTGTTACTACAAATGAAGGATCCCCTGATGCTGGACCACAAAAATAACAAGTGTCCATTCCTGTACCGTGAGCTTCTCAGGGCATAGCACTGCGTCTCGCACACAGTGAGCACTTAGCAAACACTGGGTTCCTGAATGAGGAAGAGAGTGTATATGCCCTGGGCCTACATCCTTCTCTCCCCCGCCCCCCCAGGCTCATCCATTGCCCACCATGGCCATTGCAAGCCATCAGCCTTTTAGGGATTGGGGTTTAAACAGTTGGCATCTTCCTATATTTTTCTTCCTCCTACAGTTCTAGCCAATATAACTTTCATGGGTCGTGATGGCTTTTGTTCAAGAAGCCACAGAAAGAAATGATTTCTTGAAGGATTTTCCACAATGGGATTAGATGATCGCTAATCTAATAAGACACCATACTAATGGTGATATTAATAATATTATGTGATTGCTGCAAAAATCACATTGCTCACTGAATGAAAATTTTTGAAAATTTTCATGCTGAAAAGTTTGGGATGACCAACATACAGTTGCCTGTGTTACTCTGTAGCTACCTTATAGCACATTCGTAAAAACAAGCAAACAAATCAATAACAGCTTGATGTTCCTATCAAGGTAGTGGAATTATGAGTGTTTTATTTCCTTCTTTAAACCCATGTGTATTTTCTCTTTCTCCACAATGAACAGTCTTTGATTCATACTTTGGATGCTTTTTTATTGAGAGGGGGAACTTTATAGAAGATTCCATTCTCATCTACTTAATTATCACTTTGGGGCAGATTCCTCAAGACCGAGGTAGATTGGATTCATGAGCTCTTTGGTGAGATGCAGAAACACCATCCCCAGGCCCGGGCCTACCCCTAACATGTGCAAAACTCAGAGCAAGTACAAATGGAGGCCTGCCTACCATATGTCTGACTATTTACAAAGTATAATTAAGCTTATAAATTGTTAAGTAAAAGCCATCCATTCTCCTGCCTTGACAAATATAACTTCATGGTGATCTGGAAATTCAGCTTTGATTTTAGAGTCTTTGGACTCCTCGGAGTTGTTCACTGGATCGTGGTGGCATGGAAGGGTGGGCCTGTGTCCTTCTCCTCCCACCCTTGGCTCCAGCCCACATTGCAAGAGGCCCCATGAGCCTCCCTCCATGTCTAAGCTCCATCACCCCGCTTTGGAAATAGCCATTCCTTGGCCACTTTGGGGGCTAAGGATACACATCAGTGGTCATCCACTCTCAGGGGGAAGGCCATGTGCAAGTCTTAAGTACATTTCCTTGCCCCTCAAAACTCCCCACCCCATGAGGAAGGCCGGAGCGGATCCTCTAAAGCACAGGGCCCAGGGCAGGAGAGGGACTGCCAGTGACAGAGGGTGCTGGGTCACAGATAAGTTGGGGTGGCCTCTGTCATTATGACTGCTGCTCCAGGGGTCCCCATTCACCACACACACCATGGTCTATGTCTTGGATATAATCTCTATAGTAAAAAGAAATCTGTCCTCACGTGGAGCCATTGTTGAATGTCGAAGCTTCTTGTCAGGAAGCGCCATAGATGTGGGTGCTTTTCGGTCCTGGGCCCCAACCCCTTAAAGGACCTGCTAAGGGGCCAGCCCACGGTGACCAAGACAGGCATCAAGTGAGGCTTCAGAGTTGTTTCAACAGATGTTGTCACCACGCTGCCCAGATTCCTCCAACACTTTCCATTATAGTCCTTGCCACCAATGTCATCTTGTGAGGAACCCAAACTCCCCGCCTGATGGAATTTCTTCAGTGGAGCACGGGCAGGCCAGAAGTGCCGAGGGGTTGATGCCTTCAGGAGCAGCCACCGAGGGGCGAGCTGCAGGGCGAAAACGCCAGCTTCCTCTTCCCTCTAGCGGAATCATTCTGAGGCATTAGCTCTACAGCGTCTCCCAGAGGTGCCTGGCAAGATTGAATCTCAATTGTCTACAATGTTAGCCTGATCGTTAATGTCCCCTTTGTCAGTGTCCTTCCATCCTCCCTCACACTTCTCCACTCTATCACTATTTCCTGGCATATTTTCCTTGGACATTTCCCTAGCGAACTCCTTGTACCCAAATCCTTCTCTTGGGGGTCTGCTGCTGGGGCACCCGCCCTAAGGCAGTTGTCTGTTTCCGATTCTACTGACTTCAGTTGCTTCTGTCATGTCAGGTGCCGTTCTCTGCATTTGACCGTTACCATCTTCAGTTTAACAGATGAGGAAGCCAGTGCTCAGTGAGATCAAACAATCTTCCTGAGCAGTCACAACGATAAAGCAGCAGAGAGAGGATTTGAACCAAGTGCTCAGACTCCAGCATGCAAACGGTTCATTACTGAGCTCTAAATGCACAGAACGTGACACAGATGCCCGTGCTTAGCTTGGGCGTGGATTCGAACAGAAGAGCAGCGCAGGGTTTTGGGAATCAGTACAGCGTTTTTGAGACCCCGATGTATCGTTTTCTTGTTGTCTGGCCCTCCATGCTCTTCCTTATATATTGGCCTTAACATGAGTAGCTCCCTGCCAGACTGGTTGGGGCAATTAAATGATGTGGTGCGTTCATGGTGCTTTGCACCAGGCCAGGCACACGGGATGTGCCCTGCGCGTGTGTCGGTGAACTTCCCCGTTGTCCTCTCCTCCTCTCGATCATGCCTGTTGCCTGGGCTGCCGGGAAGGTGGGTAATGGCGGAGGAGAACGCAGCCTCAAAAGCCTGTTGTTTCCAGCAAGTATCTGGCTAATTTATTTCAAAAGGTTTTGCTTCTATGAAGTTTAATAGAGTTGATGAGTATTAAAGGAATCATTTAATCTTTATTTGAATGTGAGCAGTAAATGTGTTTTGGAGATTATATTCATTCCCCAGTGACTCCAAGTGCTTTCCCATTCCAAAGCTGATTTTCATCCATCAGAGCAAAGGGTTTGCAGCTCCGTGGAGTTGTCTGAATGAGAAGCAGGCGTTCCAAACAGAGGGTGCCGCTTGGCCTCGTCTCGAGCAAGGTGGCAGAGCTTCCTTCTGGGCGCAGGGACACACCCGCGGGCGTGCGGCCATGTGGCTCCACCCCGGCCCCGTCTATTCCTGTCCTGAGCTGTTCCCGAATCGGAACGAGGCTTCGCGTCTCCGTAAAGCAGCCTTCAGAAGCCCAGGACTTAGAGACAGATCTGTCTCCCCTCCGCAGCCTGCTGGCTCTTCCACTTTACTGCACCAAATGGAAGGTCAGCCACATTCGCTAAAGGTGAAGCTGCTAAGATCTGTCTGGGGAGGCATTTCACCAAATGAATTTTAATAGCTTGGAATCAGGTTAAACTCATGAAGAAGGAAGGAAGGGAAGGCTTACTTGGTATCGAATGTATAATACTACATTTTTACAGCCTGTAAGCACTCGGGATGTGCATGTTGCTTCGAGGGCGGGAGGAATCTGTGCTTCCTGCCAAGAGCAATTCGGTCTTTGGCCCAGCAGCAGCCAAGGGAAGCCTCTCTGGGTGGGCAAAACATTCCCAAGTCGGGGCAGAACGCTGATGGGCTGGTTACACAATTAAGTATATCTTGAGTCCAATAGTGGGGTGTGAAGGGCAAGTTGAGGAGGAGGAAAGGCGGTCAGAGGTTTCCGAGGGAGTTAGGTGGGCCTCACACCTTCCCACACTGGGTCTCTCATGCTCACAGAACCCTCTAAAGCGTGCCCCACGCACACAGTGAGCCTTGTCTTCTCAAATGGGAACACGTAGAGAGGAGAAAAAACTGGCCAAATTCCAGTCCCAGTTGGGATCAGAACGCAAACCTTTCTGTTACCCAACATGTGCTCTTTCTCAGACATGGCACCACCTGTTGACCAGAAGTGAGACCTAAATTCAAGGTCAGCTCCAGCACTAGGTGGTCTTGACCAAGTCACATACTCCGTTGGACACCAGGTCCATCAGTGCAATGGGAATGATAACGCTGCTTTATACTCACGGTAAGATTGTCATGAGGAGCAAATACACGTGAACGTGCTTTAAAGGCAACTAAGTGCTATTCAGATATAATTATTTGTCATTTATTGATAATGGTGATCATGAAGACAACCATGATGGTGACCACTGTGTCACCAGAGACACCTAATCTATGAACACTTCCAGGAGGGATGCCAACAGCACAAAGGTCTCTGTGGAGAAAGCCACCGGGCAAAGTATTTGGCAACTGCTGCTAATCGAGTAGAAGGACGAAGCCAGACTCCAGACAATCAAAGGCAGCGTGGAGTAGGAGGAAACGCAGACATGTTCGAGCATTCTAGCGGTGAATTCGAACCAAGAAGCAAGAAAGAAGGCTGTCGTGGAGGGGTCAGGTGGGTCAGGGGCCAGCAAAGCAGCGAAGGAGGGGGGCAGGGGAGAAGCGGGATGGGCCCCGGGCCCTGAGCAGCAATGAGATCACAGTGTCTTTGTGAACTGTCAGTTGCAGGTCGTATTTCTGAATGACGAGCCGGTAGCTTTCTGCTGAAACCACGGGGGCCTGCTCTGGGACGAGCCCCCGGCTGCCGGAGTACGTGCAGGTGGGGTCTTACAATATTTATGGACTTCAGACGCATGCCCTCCGGAGCTCCAGGAGGCGAAAGCACATTCCAGACGCATAAAGGCTGAGTATCCCTGCGTGAAACGCCACGGGAGGCCCGGGTCTCGGGGGAGGCCGGGTGGGTGCCGGTGGAGATGAGGAGTCCAGAGCCTGAGGCCAACCGGCTTCGGGGCGGCACCTCCTGTGGCTCTTGGCAGAAAAGCCACAGAGAGACCCTTCCCTGAGGGGGTTATTTAATTTTCTCCTCACATTATTTAACGCGACCACTCTCGCGTACTCCTGTGGGAGCACGAGCATAGCTGTCTGCTGGCTCTTTCCCTCCCCTGTTAAAGGCTGAACTCCTTCGGGTGACAGAAATAGGTTACCCTTGTTTCGGAAGGTGCTAGAAGTAAATCCAGCACTTCATCGGTGTTCGTTATACAAAAGGCGGCTTGTTCTCCGTGGCTGGGGTGACTGCAGTGCCTTTGGCCCCAGACCTTGGTCCCGGGCCTTTTGGCAAAGAGGGTTTACAAAGGAGTGACTGTAATGAAGGATAAAAGGCCACAGTCTGCTGAAGGTGAAGGGGTAGAGAACAGCAACTTTTGTGTCCTCGGGGCCAGGAAGAACCACCTGGGGCTTCTCGGGTGTGAGTTTAATCTGCCAGTGACTGTGATAAGGCATCCTTTTTCCGGACACATTATCTGTCGCCACACCACACGGACCCTCACCAGCTGACAGGATAGCAGGGGCCATGCAGAGGCTGGGAGGGGGACGCCGGGAGAGCAGAAATCAGGCATTTTGCCAGTTAAGACAACGTCGGCTTCTGGTGGGTAAACCAGAGGTGAAAGCGGGGCACTGGGGCGGCTGGTTCGCCGTGAATGAGGTTCCTGCTCACCTCAGAAGTGGGCAGAACACCCCAGGCGGCACTTCTCACGGAGGAGGGAGGCAAGAGGCAGTCCTAGCATATGTGAGGACAGCCTTTTTCCTGTGAATTCAAGCTATTTGGCGCTCTCAATGGCAGGCCCCAAAGAAACAAATGATACTTTGAAGCCTCGACACTGAAAATATTTCTTCTGCAACCACGGAACGGAACAACAGGTGATCTTAGGAGGCCCTTAAGAGTCATTGAGCTCAATGTCTGTGTCTGAACAACTTGGAGAGTGAGGGGCAGAGACCCCAGCTCTCAGCTTCTGGAATCCAGGCCATCTTTCCACTGCACCCTTGCGTCTGCTCTACGCTGTAGGGCGCTTTTGAGGATGCACGTAGAAAAGCAAACCGCAGCCGTGGTTTCATTGTGTAATAATAACCGTATTAGCTGAGTTCTTCCAATGGCTGTGACTTTGAGAAACTCCTGACAATGTTCTGCTCCTCAAGGTCGGGAATCTGTGCATATTTTTTCCTCCCGAGATCTGTTGCTCAGGTCCCATGTATACAATATGGATCATCCTTCTAGTGAATTCCTCTTTCTGCCCCAGTTCATTCCTGTGGCTTCTACTTGAAGAACCCTAACTGATACCCTCGCGTATGTCGCATTCATTCATTCATTCATTCGTTCTTTCACTCACCGTTTATTTAGCACCACCACCTGCCAGGCACAGATATCAGTACCGATGAAACATGACTCCTGTCTTCAAGGACTTCAAGTTTAATGGGGAAGAGATACAAGTAAGAAGAAAGGCAGCAGCGCAGTTTGTAAGTGCATGCCAGGGAACAGGAAGTGAAAGCAGCTGAGACTCCATGGAGTCAGGGAAGGCTTCCAGAAGAGAGGTTGCTTACGTTAGGCTCTGATGGGCAGGTAGAGGTGGCCCAAGCAGAGAGAAGGGCAGAGATGCACTCCCTTTGGAGTGGAAAGCATTGTACGAAGGTCCAAGGGTGTGCAGAAGCAGGGCACATCTGAGGCTTAGCTCGCAGGTTAGCGGGACATAGGACAGGCATGGGGATATGGCAGAAGGGGCAGCTGGAGAGGTTGGCAGGCAGCCACCGGGCCAGGATGTCTACTGGTGATTAGCCAACGACACTGAACATTCCCCCGGAGGAGCCGCTGAAAAGTTTTCAACAGGGAATGCTCTGGTCATGCTTGTATGTTAGAAAAACTGCTCCAGCCTCAGCTGCACACTGATTTGGGAGAACCTCGGTAGAGACCAGTCAACCGAGGGACAAGGACAGGGGTCTGAACCAAGTCACTTGTCATGGGACTCCACGTGCTAAGGCTCAGACTGAGGAGAGAGGCCTCTATTTGGAAAGTAGACTCTTTAGAGCATATTCATCTAGATGGACGGATGAGAACAAAGAAAAAACCAGAAGATGGAGTCCCACTGTGCCCTTCCTTCTCTGTCGCCTCCTGCATCTAATCGGATCGTGTCATGTTTCTGGCTCAACTCTTTCCATGATTTTCCTTAGCTTTCAGGAAAAAGTTCATACCCTTGGGTTAATCAAATAAAGCGTTTTCTAATCTGGTCCCTGATAACCTTTGTGTTAGGAGCAGGGACAAAGTTTGTTTGCTCATTTCCCCATATTGTACTTTGAAAATTTTTAAACTGCAGAAAAGCTGAAAGAATAGTATGTGAATAACTCTCTATGCTTCATCTAGATGGACCAGTTGTTAACATTTGCTGCATCTGCCTTCTCTCCCCCTCTCCCTCCCTCTCTGGTTTGCAATGTGTCCACATTCACACGCAGAAACGTGTCTTAACTGAACCATTTGTAAGATGCAGACATTGTGATACCTTACAGCTAGATACATCAGCACGTATCTCATAAGACCAATGACATTCTCCTACAAAACTGCAATTCTCAAGAAATGCAACCTCAAACCAATCATATACTCTAATACACAGCCCATATTTAAATTTCCCCAGATGTCCCCATGTGCTTAATAGCTTTAAAAAAAATCTAGAACTCAAAGATTGTGAATTGCACGCAGTAGTCACATCTCTTTAGTCTCCTGTCATTTACAACAGTTCTCTCTGCCTTTTTGTGTCTTTCATGCATGACCTTTTCTAAGAGCCTAGGCCAATTGCCTTGTACAACGAGCCACAGTCTGAGTACGGCTGATTGTTTCCTCAGGGTAGGATTCAGGTTGTGCATTGTGGGCGAGCATTCTACATGGGTAGTGTTACATCTTTCTTGCTGTGTCTCATCAGGAGGCACCTAATAGCTGTTTGTCTCATTATTAATGATGCTACGTTTTTTTTTTAATGATGCTAAGTTTGATCTCTCCCCAAAAAAAGCACCTTTCCCCCTTCGTAATTAATCAGTAATTTGGAGGGGTGATGCTATGTGACTGTGTAAATATCTGGTTGTGAACAATGTCTTACCAGTTGTCACCCGTTAATGATCCTTGCCTGAATCAGTTACCCTGTTGTCAGTTACAACATATTAATTTCCTAAATTTTTCATACCTCATACATTTATTAGCTAGCCTTCATCTATGAAGAAGAGCTTTCCCTCTCTACTTCTCCACCTCCTCACCATTTTTAAAAAAGAATTACTATGGACTCCTTGATTCCTTTAAAAAAAAATATAGATAGATAGATAGATAGATAGATAGATATAGATAGATATATATGTGTGTGTGTGTATGTATATGTATACACACACACACATATATGTAGATATAGATATAGATATATAGATATAGATATATATTTGATGTTCTAGTCATCCCAAATCTGCCTAGTGGGAGCCCCTTTAAGCCAATTATTGTGTCCTTTTGGCATATCTCCCGTAGCCTTTGAGTACTTCTCTGCTTTCTGACATATTATTTTCCAGCATCATCTGGTACTCTCCTGAAGGACAGAGTTTTGGGAAGAAAGATGATAAGTTTAGTTTTGTGCATGCTGCATTTAAATTTGGCATACCTCTATGATAACAAGTATCTGGTAGGCAATTGTGTATGCCAACTAGTAGTCTGTGAGAAGGATGTATAGCAAGATAATCCTTTCGATGGGAGAAGAAATGATTAGAGCTTCTATTTAGATTTATTTGTATCCGTTTCCCACACTTCTATTATAAATGTTTTATAACATACAGAGTAAATAAGTACAAGAATTCATGCATGTCACCTATAAATAAATAGCTATACACACAGAGGGGTCTATGCTGAATACTTAAAATAATAGCATGAACAAAAATATTTGGAGAACCTTGGTATAATTGTAGTTGAAGCTATAGGTTGAAAGAAGTCACCTGGAAGGTGTTTCTAGAATAAGAGGAGCAGAGAGTCTCGAATGGAAGCACAGGGAAGCCTCAACCCTCAGGACACGAGGAAAGGACTAAAGTAGACCCCTAGAAAGGGCACTAAGAGAAAGGCAGCCAAGAAGTAGGAGATAAACTTGGGAGAGTGGTGTTATCAAAACACACAGAGTGGTGGAAATGTCAGCAGTTCCAAATACTGAAGAGAAGCTAAGGAAGAGAGGCCCGGAATGTATCCACTTGACTTGGCAATATGGAGACCATCACGCTGCTGACTGATTGCAGTGTAGAAAGTGAGGACGACTCCAGAGCTGTGTCTGTGAAGGGAAGGAGAGAGATCAGAGAGGTCCTGGAAGAGTGTGCGGGACCGGCTACTGCAATAGTCGTGTCAGCTGCTGCAACAAATAGCCCCAGCTGTGAAGTGAGGATGATGCTAGAATACTGTGTGGACTCTTGAGAGGCGTGTGAAATAGTCTAAAGGGCTCGAGAGAAAGGGGCTGTGGGAGTCTGACTTGACACGGCTGATGGCAGAGGGCGGCACAAACACACAGTGGGCACGTATTTTGACAGCACGGTGCCGGGCACAGAGTACGTGCTCAATCAGTGTTCGCTGAATAACGATGGCCTTCAATTTTCCCCCACCGTGGCTGGACCCAGTCTGAAGTATTCCGGTGCTGCCTGAGGTAAGCCCAGACTGGTCTGGAGCAAAGCTGTAATGGACATGTCTGTCTTTAACACAGCCCGTCGTCCATCTGGGGTCCTCTCCAGTCCTGTTGGAGTGTCACTTCCATTCCAGGGCACACGGTCCCGTTCTGTGCCCCACCTGGCCCTTTCCCCGATTCCCCACCTGAGTAGAACCTTTCACTCTGAACCTCTCCATCTATTTCATCCATCAGCATCAGCTACTCTTGGGAGCCTCATTCTTTGCTGGGTAAAAATAGGAAAATAATCTGTGCTAGGGGGTGAGCGCGCTAATGCGCTCATAGGAAATCAGCTTTGGTCCCGTCTCGGGTGAGGAGTCAGGAAAAGGGACGATGTGCAGGGGCCAAAGAGGCTTTACTTGTTATCTGGGCTCTGCTGTCTCCTATAGGTGAGGCCTGGTGCAGGTGCCTAAGTCTGCCGGGTGCGGTTTCCTCACCCATAAAACGCTGATAATCATATCTAGCCTGTAGGTCATGATGAGAATTAATCGAAATAATTCTCACAAAGTTCTTAGCATGTAATAGTAAACATGTTAATCAACCTTTTCATTCACTATGTATTGAGCGTGTACTTGGGGCCAGGCATTGTCCCAGGCACTGGGGATCTGGCGGTGGGGGGTGGTGGTGGTGGGGAGAAAGAATCCAGTCCTTGCCCCCACGGAGCCCGCACTCTAGTGAGGGAGGAAAGAGCAAACAGATAAGTGTGTAACATACTGTCAGGTAATGAGTCCTGTGAAGGGAAAGAAAGGAAGGTGGGGCCTAGGGAATGTGTGGGAGGGTGAATTGAGGTGGGGGCTTGGCAAGACCCCTCTGAGGCCAGACGGTGAGCCCACCGCAATGGGGGTGGGAGCGCTCTAGGCACAGGGACGAGCAAGTTCCGGGGGACCTCGGCTGGGAGCACACTAGGAGAGCACCGTGAGAGTCTGTGCGCGTGCGTGCGTGTGTGCCCACGCGCGTGCGTATGTATGGGTAAAAGGGGACGAGATCAGAGGGGTGAGCAGAGGCTAGATCATTTGAGTCTTGGCGGCCACAGTAGGAACTTTTGATTCAGTTTTATTCTGAAGCTGTTAGAAACCATTGGACAGTGAGAACAGAGAGAGAGGACTTGTTTTGAAGTGAGCCCTTTGGCCGCTGTACGGAGAGTGGATGGCGGGGTGGGTACGAATGGAGCAGGGCGACCTATTAGGCGGCTCTCCCAGGGTCAGGCAGGAGAGGCGGTGGCATGTGCCAGGGTGAGAAGCGGTCAGGCTCAGGGTCTGTTTTACAGTTAGAGCTGGCAACATTGGCTGACGGACGGAGAGTAGAACAGAGAGAACAGAATCCAGGATGGCGCGCAGGCTTTCTGCCTGAGCAACTAGGTCTGTGGTGGTATCATTTTTTATATTGGGCATATTAGATATTAGCAGCAGCAGCAGGAGCAGAAGCATCTTGACCTTCGAACCTGTTTAACGACTATCTGGAACACAGCCTGGAGAACAGAAGGGTCGCAAGGCCATGATCAGGGTTAGTAGACTAGTGAATGTTGACTGATTAGTAACACCGTGGGCATAGAAGCAGGGCAAGGTGGCTTAAATACTCAGTAGTGATCAACTTGGGCCTACACCAGCAGCAGCGGCACCCGAGAACTTGGAAATGCAAATTCTTGGGTCCCGCCCCTGACTTACTGAATCAGAAACTGTGTGTGCAGCCGGGCTCCGTGCTCTGTTCCAGGGGATTCTCATGCGCGCTGCAGTGTGACAACCACTGGCCTAAGGTATTTCTTTGCTGCTGGGAATCTGAAGAAGGCTGCAGAGGTCCCCAGGAGTGGATCATCAAGCCCCAGAAGGTCCGGGAGACAGGAGACCTACACTTGGGAAAGGTAAAGGAAGTCAAGAAGGTGGGAGGGGGGCGGTGGGTGGGGAGGCGAAAGGAGGAATCGAAAAAGGGTACTGTTTGGGGGTGTTGAAGCCCCTGGAAATGGGCCCAAGGGCTGCGTGAAGAATCAGCTAGAAGCTTAGTAAACATAGCTTGTTGATACTTGTGTGTATATTCATTTAACTTGGTTGGCCCTTGGCATTTTAGGAGATTTTACTTTGAGAATTTGTAACCTTCCCAGCAGTCTGAATAGTTTAAAAGAAAAGGCCTTTTGAGTTGCCTGGGTGGCTCAGTTGATTAAGCAGCTGCCTCCTGATTTCAGTTCAGGTCAAGACCTCATGGTTTGTGTGTTCGAGCCCCACGTCAGGCTCTGTATTGATGGCGTGGAACCTGCTTAGGATTCTCTCTCTCTCCCTCTCTCTGAGCCTCCCCTGCTCTCTCTCTCTCCCTCTCTCTCTGACCCTCCCCTGCT